AGTACATATTCTATGGTGAAACCATCTTCTATCGTGTTAAAAGCTTGCAAATTGTTTAGGCTTTTTTTTTAAGGGAATTCCAGGTTCACTTACGCCTTTCTCCATATTCCAAGCATAGTTCTTCCTGAGCATCCAAACAGGTCACATTAACACCATTTAAGGGACACAGGGTGCCCATGTGCTATACATCTATTCAAGGGGGGGGGGGTATTCACTTACCTTCCCTACCGGTTTGCAAATGTGAGCGTTCGCTCACTTCCTTCGCTTGCGTGGGTCCCATCCGCGCATGAGCTCAGCCTTCCGCACATGCGCTTTGCCTTTTAAAAAGTGCCTAAATGGGATGGCATAGAGCTGTGGCTGGGGGGGGGGGCAGGCCCACTTGCGGTTTCCTCTACCAATTCGGGGTGAACCGGTCCGAAACGGCAGAATACCACCTCTGCATCTATTGTTTAACTGAAACACAGTTTACAACATGTGAACATTCACGCTGAATAAAGTTTAATTAAAAAGAGGTTCCAAACCCTTCTGATAGAAAGAAAAGAGCGAAGGGCGGGAAAGTCCGTTGTCTGCAGCGGTTCATTCATCACATTCATCAAGATGGTGATTTCATATGCTGTATAAACTAGGCCATTCTTGACAATCGATTCATTAAATAGCTGTATAATTTTCAGAGAGTATAGCTGTTAATACCTCTAACAGTAGTACTGTAACTTCTAGTAATATAATGGTGTAATACCATTTTTAAATCCTCAATATAAATTCATTTTAGGCGCTGCTTTGTTGTTTGGAATCTTAAGCCAGAGATTTAGAAATGTGAACCATATTTAATAAGAGCCGGGTTTATAATACACATGTAAACTAGAATCCTCTATTTTATTACTCTAAATATATTTGCTAACTTTATTACAACGAGGGTATATTTTCAAATTATAATTTTTAATACATGTCATAAATTTTGTTCTTGGTTTTAAGAACTTTAAGAACTAAGAAACATGCTGGAACTATGGTACTGTTGCGTAACAACCCACAAAGACAAATTAGATTTGCTAATTAATATGCTGTCTTTGATTTATGTCAGGCTGTTCTGTCTATAAGGCCCCTAACACAGCTAGCAATTAAAAACCACGTTTTTCCCAAGCTTTGCAGAAGAAGAAAAGAAAAGGCAATCGCTTGTAAGAATGGCGTGACCATGACCATATTCATTTCAATCCTGCTAATAATAAGTCAAGAAAGCAGATAGTTGCAAAAAAAAATAAATCATTGGTGATTGAAAACCATTTGACTTTTAAAAGAGGTGCTGTCAAGGAGGGATTTATATTGCTGGACCTTCAATAAGAAAAAAGAACCGAAGTGGTGCAGTGGTTAGAGTGCAGCACTGCAGGCTACTTCAGCTGACTGCTAGCTGCAGTTCAGCAGTTCAAATCTCACCAGGCTCAAGGTTGACTCAGCCTTCTGTCCATCTGAGGTGGGTAAAATGAGGACCCAGATTGTTGGGGGCAAATAGGTTGACTCTGTAAACCACTTAGCGAGGGCTGTAGAGCACTGTGAAGCAGTATATAAGTCTTAAGTGCTATTGCTATTAGCCTTGCTGCTCCAGGGATAATATTGTTGTCTCTCCCTCTCTCCTGTCTGTCGTCTGTCTGTCTTTCTATCATCTATCTATCTATCTATCTATCTATCTA